CCTGATAAAGCAGATGAACCCCACATGAAGCAGAAGCCAACGAGACTTTGTTGAATTTTAATTTTGTGTTTGTGAATTCTGTACATTTAATTAAGTTATTGTTTATTGGTTTAGTATAAGTGGCTATTGTTCGGGACAAACAAATACTAAGGAAGGGGCAGTGTTATGACAGCGGGGGTCACGCGACGCTAGTAACACGTCATATTCTTAAAGGTTCGTGAAGGCTCGAGTGTTTACTAGATGGGCGGTATTCTTGTATATAAGTGTGCCAAACAATGGAATTGAATTGCAGACAGAGATAGAGACGGACAGTTGAGTCAAGCGCGGTAGTAGGCGTGAATCATTCGTTGTGAATTATAGCGTTTGTTAAGTTATTAAAGTGACTGTGGAAATTAAGTGTATTGCAAAGTTGTATTGAGAAAGAATAAACTAGTTTTATTTAAGGAAGGACTTGTATTGCTAAAGTTTTTATGAAAGAATTTCTACGAAAAATTAACAAACGAACAGACGTAACAATATGTTATATAACTTTATGGAAATGATTGTTCAGTGGTATATCCTACATTTATATTCTGTAGAACCATAAAATGTAGTGTTTTCAAACTTTAAAAATTATTCTTCTGACAACTTATTATTTGTACAATATGTCTTTGTAACTTTGCTATTTGTATTTATTATATAGTTGTCATGTTATAGCTGAAATTGGTGTGTAAAATTATGTGTTAGAGTGGAAGACCAGAAAATGCTACTTTCTGCTACTATTATTCATGTTCATATACATTGAAAATAACTTAAGAAATTTTACTTATTAACAAGAATTTTCCATGTTATTAAAGTGACTGTGGAAATTAAGTGTATTGCAAAGTTGTATTGAGAAAGAATAAACTAGTTTTATTTAAGGAAGGACTTGTATTGCTAAAGTTTTTATGAAAGAATTTCTACGAAAAATTAACAAACGAACAGACGTAACAATATGTTATATAACTTTATGGAAATGATTGTTCAGTGGTATATCTTACATTCAAGAAGAACTAATACTCAATGATTGGTCTATAATCTAAGATGACTGAATTTCATCAGGAATAGAAATGTGAATGATAGTGAACCCATTGCTTGTTTTCTTCCTAATATCTAGGTATTAAGCCAAGATGGAGTTTTAGCAGTTGGAGTGCCAGAATTCATCTTCATTATGTGGCTGTTGACAGGTGTAAGTAAAAGCACTGCAGCTGCTTTGTATACAGAGCTAGATCCATCAAACACGGGGGTAGTGATGTTTGGTAAGATTTGTTTTACTTAGCTGTATTAGTTGCATTATTGAGTACAAAGATAATAAATTTTAGCATTTCTAGTTTTCTCCAAAGACTGGAGAACCACTGAGATATGCAAAAATATGGATGACTAATTACAACCTTTGAAATATCAACATTTCTGGAGATAGTTTGTAGTTTTAAAAGACTTTTAGAAAGAGTATATCTTAGTGGCCAAATATTTGATATTATGTAGTTGTATAAGAATTGGGTGAAATACCACAACCTTATATATTTTGACACAATCTACTATTGTGTGTACACACACATGCACTGAGTGAATCAAAATTCCTGATTTCTCCTGTTGTTGAGTAGATGTGAAAACTGAAAATACATTGACATAGGATGTTTAGACTTAGTGGAAGCCATTTGTTACATGGCATGATGTCATGATATAAAGGTCAGTCAAATGCTTTTCTGAAACTTTCAATCTGTGGCAAAATGTGCCAATACAAATGTTGTAGTGAACAAGGATATTATCCCAGAAATATTGTTTTACTTATGGGTTTTACATAAATTTGCATAATTTTTTTAATTAAAAATATACAAGATCAGTTATAAAAATTATGAAAACCAAATATATCATTTGGATGACATTGATTTGACCTCTATATCGTGGCATGTTGTCAGGCGAAAAAGGGCCCAAAATATGCCTGAACACCCTGTTTCAGCAATTTTCACTAATCCACATCTACTTTGCAACAGTAGGGGAAATCAAGACTTTTAACACATCTTAGATATATATATATATATATATATGTGCATTTTTTATAGCGTAAAGTTAATGATTTTTAAAATGATTATTGTAACTTGAATAACTTTTGTTTCACTTATTTTTACTTTTTACAGTCTGTTTTATCTACTTATATTGTGTTATGAATTGATTGAGGTGTATATGAAAATAATTTTTAATACAGCTATCATAAATCTGTTTATAGACAACTTACAATATTACTTATATTAAGTTCATAATTTAAGGAAATTTTAAGCTTGTGACTTTAATATATAAAAATAGTTTATTCTACATAATTTGTAAGTATTTTAATATCTCTTTATTTTTTTTTTGTAGAAACATTTCAGAAGTACTTGTACAAGCTGCATTATCTGCAAGATCTTTTAGTTTTGTCTGGCACAATGCCACCAAATAGCTTTGCAAGCAAATCTTGTCTAATGAATGAAAACATAAAGGAGAGTAAAAGTTCCCTACCTTTTCCACAGGAGACAACTAGAATAAAGTCTGAGTGAGCAAGTTTTACCAAACATGTGTATTTAATACACATATCTAGTCAAGAGTGTCACCAGAAAATCATCTGCTTAGGATTCAACACTGTTCCTGCAACTTTAAAATTTTCTGAGTTTCAGACTTAAAGCTTTATTGCATTATGATCTGATTTTTACTTTTTATTTTTACTGAAGTGTTTTGTGCTTTTTTCACTTTATATAATTTTTTGTTTACCATGTATTAAAAACATGTTTGTGAAGTGTTACTATTTTTACTGTAATTTTTGTCAGTCATGGTTGACCAGTTTTTGATGATATGTTTTTGAGTTACATTCTTTTACACCACATCTGGCTTTGCTCATGTTTTTTGTTTTAAGGAGTACTTAAATATTTGTGTTGTTTTATATGGTGGAATAAACTGGAAATGAATTTACTGAGTTATTTTAAGGTAAACACTTTTATCGATGAACTTGATTTATATATACCTAAATGAGTGAATTCAGCTGTTAGCTTAGTAGTTCACTCACTTCATTTTGTAAAAAGCTCTAAGACAGAAAGCATACACTGATCTTGTTTTTAAAAAATATGAAACTTATCTAAATAAAGAAATAAATACACCATTGCTGTTGAACTATGACCCTCAGGCCAGATATGACATAGTGGAAGGTTTAATATGGCCTGTGAAAGATTTTAATAAGTCCTAAGAAATAATGTGGCTAGCCAAATTAAAAAAAAAGGGTTTTTGAACTTATTCATTAAAATATGTATACATTTACTCAAAAGTATGATGGATACAGTATGTTTGTATTAGACACATTATCATAAAATTATGTATTCCTTCTGTAGAAAATTCAAAGAATTGATCCCTAAATTTACAGTGTTATAGATATTGGAGTCTGTTATTTTCTGATATTAGTAAGTTCTCAGAAGAGAAGCGGGCTCATCATTCCAACTAAAGTTAGCTTACTTATTAATCATTTACTCTAAACAAACAATGAAGGTAACAAAAAATATTGCATAAAAAATAAATGTAGCTCCCTATTCCCAAAATATCTGAGTACCTTTGTTGTAGAATATAAAAAATGGTTTTACCAGTGTTTTTAAGATCAAATAAGGAAAATAGAATAAGAGAGCAAAATATTTTGCATGTACCAATGACTAACTATTGATATTTAAACAGTGAATTCACATAATATACCAATTTCCTTTATTGTTTTAAGTTTTTTTGACAGCCTACAGGATGTATTTTGGCATCCTTTTTTCTAACTTCTTACTTTGACCTCTTCTATATTTTATCTTTTTTGTTTTAGAATATAATAGATGTGTGAATGAGAACTTCCAAAATATAACTTCTCAGAATTAAATAACAAAATGCTTTCTTATATAAGAATATGAAAAAATGAATATGAAATGACATATTGTAATCCTTTTATGTTTAGAAAACCCAAACAAAAGCATCTTATTTTGTAACTTCCCTACATGATTATGCCTCTTTGTATCATTTTTTTTTTCATCCAGTGTTGTTACTTTTTTTTTTACATAAATATGAAGAAAGAGTAGAAAAATTGATCATATGGGAAAAATACAAAAAAGTAAGTTAAATTTGTTTCTACCCAGGATAAGAAAGAGATTTTCTAAATCATTAATATCTGTATGTGCCAAATTGTGATTTACTCTCAACAAAGATAAAAATTCATCTTAAACATCACAGGGTTATACAATCACTGCTGTCCATTTTCATTGTACTTTCAAATATTTCTATTTTGCAATAACAGTTTAATGTGCTTTGCTTTAATGAAAAAAATTATGTTTTTGGAATTTAATGAAAATTAAATTTTGACATTGTTTTTTTTAAAGAAAAATACTAATAGCAAAATGATGGGTGTAACAGAACCACAGAATTTGAAATGGTATATCTTAATTTACCTTTGGGGCCATCCATTTAGTATGTATGCAAGCTTTTTATGATTTTTAACCCTCCCCTTCCTCCCTATACATGCGTATGTAGTTTATATATAGCAACCGTCTCATAGCATGTAAACCTTGCATGTTGTTAATAGTCACTAAAAGATATTTTGGCCATTATAAAGGAACATAAGTTAATCAGTGGAAATGCAGCTGAGCTGTTAATGAATTTAACAAGATGATGAGCCAAGCACATTCAGTTTTTCTGTATGTGTGCTTGATTGTTTGTGTACGTAGGTATACTGTGTGTGTGAACAGATCAGATACAGATTTTATGTCATTTTCGAAATGTAATTTGTCAAACAACAGAGAAATGATAGTAGCAAACCAAGAGTGAATTAATATGCAAAAAAGCATATAAAGACAATACTGATAATATGTAAAGCCCCAAAAAAACATCATATGAATCTAGTTCTACTTATTCTTGTCTTCCCAAGGACACATCATTGCCTTGAATAAATTCCAAAAACCAGACATTTGTGTTTCTGTTGTGACTGCTTGGTCTTGTGGAAGGGATTCATGACTAGGATCAGAAGATGGGTCGAGGTCTCTTTCTCACGGTCCTCCAAGGCCTTGTCTGGATCTTCACTTAGTTCATGAGTACAACTGTGTTTTCTCATGGAAGCAATCAGTGGAAAATATATCCCACACATTTTGCATATTCTTTGAGACACTTCATTGCAAACCTTTGGACAATACATGTCATAAGGGACCTCTCCATGGAAAGCTGCATTCTTTGCTGCATTTGGCATCATAATCCCTATGGTGAGTCTTTGACCTAGAGTTGCAAATACAGTCTGCTGAGGTTCCAGAACATCATCAGTTTCAGGTATCTTGATTCCTTTAGCACTCTGTATAAGAGGAAATGGAGCCAGGAGGAATCTCACAGGCATGACATCCATCCAGTTAGTATGCCACTCTCTACAACAGTCTTTGTTACTGTATTTAACTATTTGAAGCAATTATTCTGATTGCCTCGCATGCTTTACTTCCCAATCATCATTTGGCTCGCTTATTTCAAACTGCAAATCCTCAATGCTAACATACTCTGCCTTAACTGGATGACTGTCAATCACCACCCTTGATCATGCTTCGGTGAGTATTTCACCACATTTCTTGAAGTTGGCTCTTTCAAGTTCAGGATTAGTAGTCTTTCCTGAACTATCTAGATGATATTAAAACTGTTGTGTAAAAGGATTGAACCTGACGGCTCACGACTAAGTGGTGCCATTCTTCTTTGTACTCAGTTACAGGCAGAATAACCAGGTGCATGAGTAAGTGTAGTACATACATCCAAGTTATGGTTTCTGAAGAGCTCTACTAAAACTGGGAAATTTAGGATTTTCATCTGATCCATCATCAACACTGAAAACAAGAATTGGCTTTACATCATCCATAGCAGAATCCTACATGAAGGGTACGAATGAATCCTGGCCAAGAAAATTCTTGAAGTCTGGTGCACTGATGTACATGCTACTTGTGTCATAATTTCCACGGAAGACTTTTCAAATGTCGTCCTCTACATTTGTAGGTTTCTACAACAGGCAGTTGCTG